CTTTCTTTCTTTCTTTATTTTTTAAAGAAACAAACATGAATACTTTTCTTTCATGAAACGGAAAACAAAACAACAATCTACTCACGGCCCTCATAGACGCCACCATATCCGCCTCCAGTTCCAGCAGCCACTTCTCCACCTGTCCTTTAGCTCTGGCCGTGGAGATTCTGTCCTTGAGCTTGACCACTTCCCCTTCGCTGGATTTCATGTGGGTGATGTCCTTGTCAGGCTCCGTGAACGTGAGGTTGGCAATCCCTTCGAAACATTTCTTTAAGTGCGGCTGGACTCTGAGTAAGAGACAGTGTTGGACTGACGTTAGCCTGGCTGGCAGAGGCACAGATAAACAACTGTATGAGGACCTTTAACAACCCCCACCCCCAATCAATGACATGATTTACGCCTAAATTGACACAACTCAGAACATTTACTTGCTGCTCCAACCAAGTAAGTATTTATTTTTATTTTGTTTGTTTGTTTGTTTGTGTGTTGTTGTTTTTTTTTAGGGGGGTGTGTAAACTGTATACTGTATACAATATTAAAATTTTAAATATTTGGGGACATTATATCATCAGTGAGAGACGTAACACCGAAATTAAAAGCCGCATTCGCCAAGCAAAAGCAACCTTCCACAAAATGAAACAGATAGTTACAAACGTCAATCTGTCACTGGAAACAAGGAAAAGAGTAATGAAAAGTTACATTGAGCCAATCATATTATACGAACAGCTAGTAAGAACAACTGAGGCGACAGAGTTGTGGTTCATAAGACGCATGCTGCGTATCCCGTTGACAGCTAGAAAAACAAACAAAGAAGTCTTGGTTACAGCAAATTGCAGACGAATAATTTACAAAAGCGACAGGCAAAGTTCATTGGACACACAATGCGAAAAGAAGCATTGGAGAACATTGTAACAACAGGCAAGTTAAGTTGAAAGAGAGGCAGAGGCAGACAGAGGGGAAAGATTCTGGACAGATTGACAACATGGCTTGGAACAGCAAGAACGACAGACACCATCGCTGCAACGCAAGACAGTGAAGTGGAGGTCCATGATCGCCCACGCCAGTCGGAAAGGATAATGTATGCCAATAGACAGTCAGTCGTAAAGAAGACAGGTGTTGGTGGTGATGACGATGGTGGTGGTGGTGGTGGTGGTGATAGTGGAGGTCGTATGGTTGCTGGTGGTGGTGGTGGTGGTGGTGG